GAACATATCTAAGTCTAAAAGATGCATTTATTACGGTAGTTAGCTTTACTATGGCTTTTCTAGGTTTTTTTGGTAGTATCCCTCCATTGTTTAGGTCAAACCCAGGCTATTTTTTGTACTGATGTTCTTGATACTTCTGGAACTTCTTTGGTAGTTGTAGAGATCAAATAATATTAATTTTAGAAGCTTTTACAGTAAATCATACTATCTTAATCTAAATTCTCTTACACGGATATAAACTAATAGAACCAAACATAATAAGGTAAAATAAGACATGATATTACCATCACAACCATCTTCATTTCTATCAGTCCGCGATTTTTCGTTCAGGTTGTAAGACAAACTACCATCTTTAATAGTTTAACCTGTTTAAAGAGAAAATTGTTTTAGATCCCTAGTGCTAATTTTTGTTGATTTGAAGAAGGTATTCCAGTAAATGGATATATGTGTTTAAAAGAAGACTATAACAATGTAGGATTAATCACCGGTACACAAAATCATATCTGTAACATATACAAATATGCAAAAATACCTGCAAAGAGCAATAAAACTACTAAAAACACTAATATTAAGTCAGAAGTATGACTACGATAACTCCAAGTTACATATCACCGTTTTCGGATATAAACACTTCGAAAGGTTTATGTTGTTAAAAGATAAGTCTCTCGAACTATTGCCGTTTTATTTGTTAGCGCTTAAATGAATGTATTGTATAAAGATTCTGACATATATCTACACTAACCTATGTTAAAAGCAGAAATAATGTTAGGTAACCGTAGGCGTAAAATCATCTAGAAGGTATACTAGAACTGGGCATCTTAGTGACGTAGGAATAAAAATGTAAGAATAATTCAATTCCAAATAGCTTTAAAAGAAAGCTTTTAACGCAGTCACACTACTAGTTCTTTTATACAAGACGAACGCCTCACTTACTTATCTATTACATGATGCTACAGCCCAGGCCGCGGCTATATGTCTTCATGATATATCTTGAGCTAGTTTTCGTCATTTTCTGACTCACAAGTTCCTCAAATCCTTAAGTAAAAATCTCCATACATGTCTACCTTTGTTGTTATTTCTTATACCCCACATCCCGTGTTTGTAAACAGTTTCGTAGATCTGACTGAAAATATTTCTGTACTCTACAAGGAGTCGGTCTTAGACTGTTCCTAGTAAGAGTAAGTCCCTACTGTATAGGGTACCACAGATCGATCATTGTAATAATTTGTAGACTTTGATCTTTAACGTTCTCAGCAGTCCACTTTTAAATATTTTATTTATTGCGAGGAAACACCTTTTTCCAACTGAAATCCTTGTCTTTATATTTTCTTATTTTAAATTGTTCTCATACTTAAGTATTCAAGTATTTTAGACTAGTGCTGTACTTGAACTCATTGCTATCCAGTGCGATATTTGTTTTGGCACTTGTACATATGTAAAAAACTCTATAATGGCAATATAACCTTTCAACAATGCGTTTATTACCCTTCCTACCATGAATATGTGATTGACGTAAATAAGGTATTACTATGTTAAAGTAAGTGACATCTGTTAACCGAATTTATGTCTTAATTTTTTTCTACTTAATGGCCTGTCACAGTTTAGAATATTCTAGTATAATCCTAATAAACCCTATTTGCTTATTAGTTACAGCGAGTTACTTTATTGCCTCTTCATCTATTCTTTTCAATGTCCACTCCACATTTAGTGGAATATGCTATTCTAAAATAATTGGTACATATTTAATTCATATTTATATACCTTTCTCAAAATGTCTTAGAGATCTGGTAGAAAGAAGATCTATTACAACTAAACTCAAAATGATCGTCTCCAAAGTTGGCTGTAGCAATCCGATTCCGCCTCCGGTCAATACCAATTTAAAAATTGTATACGCAACTTTTAGTAGTAAAATCTGTACAGAACTGATACAATCAAGAAATTGTTTTAAGTAGCTGAACTACCTTATCACTGTCGGTTGCTTACAACTCATTAACAACTTCCATATCATCTTTTTCAAAGAACAATATTTTACTCTGCATTTATTAAAGAGTTTTTCAAAATAATGTGTCCACCTTTTCACTTATTTGTCCTCCTTCACTAATTACATGGCCTTTGTTATTCTTATCTATTTTTGCCTTTGGTTGAAAACCCTTTTTCTCGTTCTTCTTCTTCGACTTTTTCCATTATGAGTTTGTCGTTTTCGACCTCGATAGCAATATATTTTCCCAGTCACCTTTTCTGAGGTTTCTATCTATCATAGCATTTCCACGGCATATTTTCTGTTTTTGTAGCAGGTCTGCCTCTCCATCTTCTTCCCTACGAGTCCCAGTCTTTTCGGCTACCTATGCTCTGACATTGTTTGTACATGCACGTTCCATTACAGGGCTCTGTTTTGCAACTTTTGTAATTGAGCATTCTACTTACATTCTGTTTTAAATTTTCTCTGTTCTTATTGTATCCGCTCTGGTAATTTGTAGCCATCTTTCAGTTCAACTGTTTTTATTTTATTTCGCCTTGATGTTGTCATTGGCCATACTTTCGCTCCATATAGGGTAGTATTGGTCAATATGTTCTGAAAGCCCTTCTATAATATTATGAACCTTGTACTGTGGAAATTAAATTAAATTTATTCCTGAGGCTGGTTAACCAGCTGCAACGTAGTCACTTGTATTATGATATGGAAAGATCGGTCTCACGTGTTTGTCTTCCTTCGAAGCATTCCTTAAAAGTAAAATGGTCTTTCCTAACCAATTGTTTCTTTCTTTATAATGTTTCGTACAAACTCTCCTAACTATATCATATCTATAAATTTTATGCTCAAACGCATTATCGGTTGGTAATTCGCCTCGTGTTGTCATTTTTGCACTTTAATGACACTGTCTTCTACGGGATGGTTCGTTGTGCTTGAAAAAGGTCCAATTTGAGTGTTTCTGAGAAGTGTAAAAGTTTTTGGTGGTAACTACAAGATTACTACTGCAAACTTTTGCAATGATTTTAATAATGTTACCCAAAGTTAAAATTAAACTAAATTAATATTCTATTGTTGGACAGAAGTTTTTTACATACTTCTTTTTTTTAATTACATGTATGATAACCACATGTGTCTTCTATTGATCTAAGTCTGTGTTAAATTTTAGACTGTACTTAGCTTTAATTGATTGTTTCTATACCTTACCGATTCAATGGTTCAATGACTCAAGCTTTTTTACATTTTATACCTTTGACTGCTACATGTCTTTTTGAGGTAACACTGTTTATATATATATATATATATATATATATATATATATATATATATATATATATATATATATCAAAGATCACTCGAAGAGTGGTGGGTTGGTTGAAAAGTGTAGGTGATAGATTACATCTCTGTTAGAGACCTTTTGTTGTGGTGATTGTTTTTATTATTTGGTTGCCCAACTTTATTTGCACCTCTGTTGTTTTATATAGTCTTTGTGATATATTCAGTCATTTCTCTCTAACGTGCATTTTTCTCATTGCTTTTCATAGTTATTTCCTGGGCACGCTATCATATGATTTCTTTAAGTCAATAAAGTCATAATTGTTTTAATATTTTTCACCTGTCCTATGACGAAATATTATCCAGACACTATCTGGCTTTTCGGAAAACAGCTAGTTGTTCACCATAATTGTCTGTGTGTTGTTCTATTTTTTCTTTTATTACTGTGGAAAAGATTTTTGCTATTGAAGGTATTACACTGATCCCTCTATAGTTATTTGGTGAGGTTTTGTCATCATTTTTTTTTAATAAAGGACATGTTTGATAGGTTACACTCCTCTGGTATCTCGTCTTCTGCTTCGATTTTATCGAATAACACTCGTATAAATGATACGATCCTTGCACTTGCATATTTCAGCAGTATCATTTTTTGTTCCATTGCCTTGGTGCTTTGTTGTGTGTGTTTTTGGTGCTTTAGTTGTATCTTTCCATGCGATTTATACTTCCTCTACTATTGTTATCTCAGGGTGTTATAAGCTATAGTCGGGTCTATTTTCTTGCAATAATTTTGTATACTGCTTTGTCTACTCCTTTGATATAATTATCTGTATAACATTTTTACTTCGTTTATTTCTTCTGATGTTCGTTTTATTTGTTTCATGTCATCGTTAATCTCTTACATCCTATCGTATTGTCTATGTTTCAGCATATTCTCTTCCAGCATTCATTCTCTTCGGGCCCTATTCGTTGCTTCACTTGTTGTCTGAAGGTAACATACTCTTCTCGTGTGTCTGGGATTCTGTCGTTTAGCCTTTTAACATACTTTTTTTTTCTTTTAGTTATCTCTTCTAGGTCGTTACTATATTTATCCAAATATTTATTCTTGTGTTGTTTAATACCTAGGACTTCGTTTGCTGCTTTTTTAGGTGTTAATACATTTCTGTTGGGGTCCATTTTTGTTTATCTAGTCCATATTATCCATGGCATGAATTGCTTTGAACGCCTTCTTCACCATTCTTAGTCGTAAACTAACTTCTTAGCTAACTTATCTAATATAAAAAAGTACCGAAAGGGAAAGAAAGTTTGTTTAGCCGTTTTTCTGTATAGTGCTTAAGCTTTCAAGAGAGTATATCAAGGGCCATAAGCTAACAAGAGTACTAGCAAAACAATAATCTGTATTATTGCAAGCAGGACGGTACATAAAAATAGCTGCATCTACTGAGATCTAAAGATGAACACAGTAGAACAAATAGTGTGCCAACAGACATTAACAAAGTTTATTTAAACATGTAAATATCAAGGCCATCCAACTCCTTCACAACACAAATATAGAAAGAAGACTCAAGAGGACAAAACCCGTCGAGTCCTTTAAGTTAGTGAAGTACAAATAGTTAGTGTAAAAGTAACGTATTGTAAGATGTTAGTATACTTGTGTAAATTTGACCAATTTACGTTAGAATAGAACTTCTCATTGATCAGATTGTAGTACATAGTATCCTCAGCTTGTTGGTATAATAAAAAAATAAAAAGTTAGTAGTAAAAATTTACAAAAATATATTGTGTAGTAAAAAATTTATAAGAAGCTTTTAGTTAATCATTGTATAAATTAATAATTTCACAAATGACGCGTGCTTTTAAATCCGTGTACAAAATTAATAAAAAAGGAATATAACTAAAGATTTGTAACACTTTTCCACAAAATTTCTACAAGAATACTTTTAAAAACAATAACAATCATTTTTGTTTACTGCTTAGATGAACTTCTTCTTCTCCTTCTTCCTCTGTTTCTGCGACTTGCAGATCTACTCTTTGATCTACTCTTCGATCTTCTTCTTCCTCGTGACAAACTTCGTTTACGTCGTCTGACTCGTGGTCTATAAGGAGCTAATTTGGCTTGGTCTAGATATAATTTCTTCTCTTGCTTGTCCATTTTTCTCCATATATTTCCTCCTTCAATTGCTATATCCTTGACTGACATACCTTCGGCATTCTTTCTAAAGATTCTTAGAAAATTTAAAAATGGATTTCGAGTTACTCTTCCTGCTTTGTACCTAACTGGATTTTTTGGTGCTTTTTGGTTTTCTTCTTTGTTATCATTAGAAGACGATATGCTTTCATTACTGTGGCGAACCATTTTAACAAAGTGTATAAATTTAGAAAATGAATAATAAAATTATACTATAAAATTGTAATTTTCTTTGACAAAAATGTCATAATTTAAGGTGAAAATAAACATGTTCCTTGGCAACTGCTATTTTATTTTGTGAAGCGAACATATTTTTTTCTGTATAAATTCCAATTAATGTCATCACTAAAGACGAAATATTTGACTAGCATTTCCTATCCTTTTTGGACTGTAGTTATTGGTAGGATTATTTGACTTTTATTTTAAATAGGTATACATAATGTTAAGTTTACTGTTGACAAATTCATCATTAAATACAAAAAAATAGATTATCGTTAACATAAAAATTTGAATTATCATTTTATACACCTACTGTTTATGTCATAAGATAAGTGATATCATGTATAAAGAAAGACACTTACCGTTGAGTTCTGACCTGATCGTTCTACCAGCAACTGGTTTCACAAACAGCTCTGAAATATTAATAGTAAAAACTGATAATTAACAAGTTAAACTTATTACTAAAGTAATTATAGTGATTGTTTAAGTGCAGGAAATCATACGTGAGTAAAGAAAACTTTGATTTTGTTTGATTGCATGATAATAAACTGAATAAATTATTGTCCTAACTAACCTAACAATTTGGTTAAAATAAAAAGAGCAATTATCAAAATCTGGTTGCTTGTCAACTTTTAAATAAAACAGATCCGTACTCAAAACAAAACTGTAAACAAAAATTTCCTGACTTATGGAGACAAGCTATTGTCATCCCTATACCAAAACCTAACAAACCGGCTATAGCGGCAGAATCATATAGGCCAATATCACTTACATGTTCTAGTTGCAAACTGCTAAAGAAAATAATAAATAATAGACTTATGTGTCATTTAGAACATCACAATTTACTTATACCGGAACAAGCTGGATTTCGTCCTTTGAGATCTACTATAGACAATGTTTTACATTTAGAATTAATGAAGCCTTCTGTAACAAACAGAAATGCATAGCTGTTTACTTTGACATCCACAAAGCATTTGACTTAGCAAGGCAACACAGAATATTAACAAAGCTGCAGACTTGGGGAATTGAAGGAAACATGTTGGAATTTTTTTTTAATAACTTTCTAAATGAACGCAAATTTTCAGTACGTAGTAATGGAGAACTTGCTAGTATTAAGTCTTAAGACAATGGAACACCACAAGGATCTGTAATTAGCCCTACACTTTTTTTAATAGCAATGAATAATGTTATTAAAAATCTCAAGAGACCTGCACAGGCTAGATTATATGCTGATGATATGATAATGTTTATCAAAGGAAAAAATATTAACTCGATGGTCAAACTTTTACAAGAAGAACTAAATAAAATCGAAAGTTGGTCTAATAGGAGTGGATTCTATTTTTCAGCTGACAAGACACAATATGTTATTTTTTCCAAAAAGCCTATTCACACAAACATACCTGCCTTAAAATTCGACACAAAGTTTTGAAAACGAAGTACAAAGGTAAAATATTTAGGCATAACATTCGACGAAACTTACAGTTGGAAACCACATATTAAACAATTGGCGATATCATGTCAAAACGGTATAAATCTTCTTCAATGTTTAGCCAACAAACAATGGGGTGCTGACGGAGATACATTATTACTGTTGTATAGAAGCCTAATCCGATTAAAATTGGACTACGGATGCATTGCATATTCTTCAGCGTCGAAGTCAAATTTAAAAATCTTAGACGTTATAAACAACAATGCATTACGCATAATCTCTGGAGCTTATAGAACAACTCCTGTTGCAAGCCTCGAGTGGGAACTTGGAGAGCCATCATTACATGAACGACGGAAATTACTTAGTCTATCTTACGCTTCAAAACAATCATCACTACAACCTGAAAACCCTTTTCTTACTCAGTCATCGTTATCAAATATCAATATAAGAACACATTTCAATTAAGGATCAAAAACAATTTAAACTCTATTGAAATTTTTAACTTTCCCTCAACACATTCAGCAAACGTAAACACGCCAACTCTCTGGTTTATACCTTTTGCCTACTTTAAATTTAGAACTATCATATCATAAATCTGAAACTAATCCACAAATATTAATAAGCAATTATAATAGAATAATTTCTTCTTTCCCTGAATATACCCAAGTTTACACAGATGCATGTAAAACAACTTCTGGTGTAGGATCATCATTTGTTAAAAGAGACATAATAAAAAGTTTCAAATTGCCCACAGAATCCACTGTGATAACTGGAGAATTGTATGCAATATACAGAGCTCTAATTCACATACAAACTGTCAAACTAGATAAATTCCTTATTATTACTGACTCAATAAATTCTCTTCATATACTTTCAAAAATGTACACTTGCAACCCGATAGCTAAATTAATTAAAAACAAGATGCAGTAGCTGGGAAACAAAACATTAGTCTCCGTGTGGGTACCATCACATATAGGCATTAAAGGAAACGAACTAGCAGATAAAAATGCTAGAGAAATAGCAAATTCCCCAAATATCAGACCGAAAATAAAACCATTAGCAGAAGATCTTAATCCGTACTTTAAACAAAAGCTGATATGTAATTGGACTAAATGTTGGGAAGAAAAATTCTCAAAGTTAAAAGAAATTAAACAAAATTTTGAACTGAAAAATGGACTGGATTTTGGAATATCAGACCGAAAATAAAACCATTAGCAAAAGATCTCAATCCGTACTTTAAACAAAAGCTGATATGTAACTGGAGTAAAGGTTGGGAAGAAAAATCCTCAAAGTTAAAAGCAATTAAACAAAATTTTGGACGATGGACTAACAACGCCCCTAGCTGTTTCCTTCAGGTTGTATTAACCAGGCTCCAATTAGGACACAGCAAACTCACACATGAATATCTCATGAAGAAAGAACCTTAACCAAAATGTAGGTTAACAGTGTTACGTGCCGTTAACAGTGAAACACGTATTAACGGATTGTCCCAAATATAGTGCTGAAAGACTAACTAATAAAATTCCATCAGTTATAAGGGACATTTTTAGTGAGTGTACCAGTGAAAATATTGTGAAATTCTTAAAAGACTGTAGCATATTGAACCACATATAAGCATTATTGTTTTCATTAAGTTCATTCGCTAATAACCAATATGGTTGATTCGGCTGCCTTAAATAAAAAAAGACACTTACCGTTCGTCGAAATGTAAATTAGTTGTAGCAAGGACAGCATCTCAACTCGGTGGCTAACGTCTTGACGAAAAATCGTCGGAATTAGAAGTAATGGGAGCGATTAGCACCACCGCGAGCAGCAGTCATTTTGGACTCGTAGATGTTCCCATTTGACTTCATTCATAGCTACCAAAAAAATCCTTACTCGGTGGTCCATGATCTAGTCCGAGGTACTTCGAAGTAATGGACATGCCACCATAAATTAAAGCTTTCTATTACGTATGCAGTGTTCTTTTGATAGGCAATAATTTAGATAAGTAATTTTGAGATTGAGATTTTGAGTTAATTACTATTTAACTGGGAATAAGCCACAATTAAAGATAAAAATACGTTTATTGACGTTTGTATTTTGAGAACGGTTTCCGAAGTGGAAATTGAAACGTCAGTAAACGTATTTTTATCTTTAATTGTGGCTTATTCCCAGTTAAATAGTAATTAATTTAAAATGCCACAAGAAAATAGCTTCAGAAAAATATTGAGATTTTGAGATTTAGATAAATGATAAATTTTGAGATTTTAACAGATCTGTGCCTCCACAAGGCAACTAAGCAGAAGAGTATTGCCTTGAACTAAAAACATGTGACAACGCCAATTTTACAGGGAAGAATTTAAAGTATACTAAAGGAATTACATATAATAAGTAATGAAAAGATATAATGTAACTAAATAAGGTCATATTTTTAATAAAATAATAAAAGGTATTAAAATCAAAATATGTATGTTGATGCAACTAAATAAATTCCCAAACACATACAAATAATTATTAAATAAATAAAATGATTAAAGAAGAATGAGCAATGAAATATAAAATTTATTGTCGGTGCTTCTATCCGTAATGATTCGAATATACCGAACTATTGACCCTTATGTCTACAGCGAGTAAAACCGTCGATCTGGTTATTTACAAAGATTCCTATTTTCCATGACTAGCTGTCAAATGAAATAAAAAACTGGTCTTTTCAGCACCACCTTGACAATGATCACTATTACCGTCATCAAATTCAATGAAATACTGGCAGATCTGACATAGTTCGCATACAAAAAATACCCAACACAACATTGACGTTATGGTGATTTCTAAGTCACATATGTATGACAAATAAAAATTATTTGCTTCTTCTTCTTTTCACTTCCTTAGGTTTTGAAACCAAGATATTCTTTTTCTTCCTGGTCCTCTGTTTCCGATTACCTTACCCTGAAGAATAAGTTGCAATAAGCCATATCTGTGTTAACTTCTCATAACATGGCCAACATATTCTATTAGCGCTCTTTAATTGTGTTAGTGATCTCACATGCCTTGCCAATTAAACGTAGGACCTCAATATTAGTCACACGATCCACTCATGAAATTCGTTAGATGCACCTCTAACACCACATCTCGAAGGCCCCCAGCTGTCCTGAAGAAGCTTTAGAGAGCATTCATGCCTCTACGCCGTATAATAATGTAAAAAATAGATAGAATCTGATGATAGAGATTTAATACTAAATGGTAAATCGTGACTTCTGAAAAAATAATTCATCTTTAGTAACGCCGATCTTGCTTTCCCTATGCGTTGTTTTATTTCAGTAGAGTAGTTCCATTGAATGTTTATGTTAGTATCAAGATATGTGTAGCTGTCTACCCTGACAATCGGCTGTTAGTTTATCAAACTATGTGCATTTAATATTTCGCGCTTAGTGACTACTAAACCAAATGTATGATAACATCTAAATACCCACTACGGTGTAAAATCAAAATAAATTCAAAAATAATAAAGCAGAAAGCAAGGTTTAGATATCTGGGAATAGATATAACTAATTACGAAGATCTTGAAGAAGAAGTACGACAACAAAGCTTAAAAGCAAGTAAAGCGGCGGGATCTCTTCA